CGGCCCTTTTTCTAATTATTTTTTAAAAATTTTTTCCCTCCCTCAAATATAATTATGTTTACTTCTTTGATTCTTTATCTCATTCTTATTATTTAAAATTACCACAATATAATATATCTTTTACTTTGTATTATGAATTTTACTTATAGCAAAGTTAGTTGAGGAAAAAGAAGGTAATTCTACTTATGAAACTTAGCCAAATAATTTTACATCTTCATATCATTCTTTAAATTATATCAACATTGAATGGTGGCTCATGGTTAAGTACTTGATAGTGATTTGTAACATTGTGTTTGTATTATTATTAATTTAGATTTGTTATGTTTTAATTTGGAATGTATGTTTAATCATTTTAGATAATGTATCATCTACGCTTATAGTAGTATTTTGGAATGTTTGGAACTTTAGATTTCATATTTTATTTATGATAATTCCTATATGTATATTTTATTTTAGGTGTTTAAGAATTAGAATAAATTTTATTTAAAAAAACAAAAGTCGCAAAAATTTTTTAAGGAAAAAAAGTGGCAAGTTGGCGGGCCTAACCCGCCAACCTACCCTAAAGTATTGGGTTGGAAAAATATTAGCCCGCCAGAAGTCGGTCCTTTTAGGACCAGCCCATCGATCCTTGAGCCTGCCACAGGCCAACCCATAACCGGCGAGTTGGCCCATATTACCGACTCTATGGCTACCATTCGAAAGGCCAAAAGTAAAGTGATTATAAAAAATGTTTCGAAAATAATTAGAAAAATTTTGGAAAAATTGCAACAAAAACTGTGAAATTACAAATTAGGACTTGTTGTAAGATTTGTATAGATTTTAACAACAATTAAATGACAAATAACAACAAATTTTTAACAAAATATCTGATTTGTAATTTCCCAATTTTTATTGTCTTTTTTGTGATTTTTAAAATTTTTTTGTCACATTCTCCTCTGAACCTATCTATTTATAAGATAAAAAGGAAATTTTTTTCTTAATTCTATTTATAAATAACCTTATTAAATTTTTAGCATAAATATACTAGTTTGTTTAGTATTTATTATAGTGTAGATAGTTTGTTTTTAAATATAGTATTTATATTAAATAGGAATAATATTAAAAACTTGTTATATCTTAAAGGATGAGTTAATGCAGTTTAAGGCTTTTTTTTTTTTTTTAGTTTGGTTTTGTTTTTGGATGAATTGTGTATTTTAATTTCTCAAGAATTGGTGATTATCGTGATGAGGAGAAGAAGGTACAAGACTTAGATATGGGTATTGTGTTTAAATTTAAATCATGGGAGGGCACTTTGTGATTATTAATAATCATGATAGGCCTTTCTACATTATTTCTGTCCATTACAACTAGGGCTGTTCATGGGAAGGATCGGGACCGGGACAGACCTGTCCCGGTTCCCTCCCGATGAACAGTAACGATACAGAAAATCTGTCCCGTATCCTGGTCCATCCTAGTGTTGCCCCAATCCTGGTCGGGATAGGACGGATCCGGGATGGGACTGGGACGTCCCGAAATTTTTTTTTAATTTTTTAATTTTTTTAATAAAATTTGATTTTTTAAATTATATTTTTTTGGACTTAGGCCTTATAAAAATATCTTTTTATTTTCCTTTTTATTTGTTTGGGCACTCTTAAACAAAAGCCCAAAATATTACATATTATAGTCATTAAAAACTCTAAATAAAAGTTTTTAACACAATAAAAACTTGCTAAAAATTCTAATCATCAATAATCTCAAATCATCAACAAATATAAAAACTCTAAATAAATATATCCATAGTTCCATACAATAGTATCAAATCTTTAAAAAAAATTAAAAAATGATATTATATAAATAGGATAAAAAATTAAAAAATTAAAAAAAGGAACCGGAGCCGAGATCAGGAGGACCCCGTCCCGGTCCCTTTTTTATCCCGTTCCAGTCTATCCCGTCTCGAAAAATTTCGGGACGGGACGGGCGGCCTTAAACACCCCTGGTTGCAACCATGATGATTGCCTTTTCCGCAACCATAATGATCATGTTGCAAAGTAAACCATCGCGCTTTTGGGCTCTTCTTTTTGTTGCTATGCTTGCTGGTGTTCCAATAACTCTCTTTATATTATGACAATTCCCTCTTCTTGTTGAAGTACTTTCTTCTGCTTATGGTCAAGGCATCTCTAGGAAGGCGGAAAAGTGGCCATGATCTGTGTGTGTAATTCAAATGTCTTGACTCCTAACAGCCATATGTTTTTTTTATTGAATACAAATTTTCCTCATGAATCTTAATGTGTAATAAACCAACTTCTTCTTTTTTTTTTTCCAGGTCAAGTCTGATGTGCATATATCAGCCCATATTTAGAAAATACACAGGTGCATCCATCAGAGCCTTTCTAATTAAACAGAGTATATCCGCTGGCAGAACACAACAAGATTCCATCATATCCCACGAAGTTTTTTCTTAACTGGAAAATTGATCAGATTGAAAAATTCTTCACTCCCTTTATCAGCTTCATATTTATACACACACCTTACTTCTGATCCTCAATATAAAATGTAACGTAAATTAAAAAATGTAAATTGAAATTATAGTACAAACTAATTTTTATATTTTAAATCGGAGGTTGTGTATGTGTTTATATATTTAAAGAAGTATGTAAATATTTTATAAAATATCCATGTCAACAGGGCTAGGTCTACTCCGCTCATCTCCGGCCAGCATGTATAATTTGTCTTCTACTTAAGTATTTAACTTTAAACATCAAAAGCGTGATCGAACAAACATAAATTCAATACACTAAAATAAGAAATTCATTTATGAATATTCGATACATTAATTACTTATTGAATAAAAACTTCAAATAAAATGAAACTTTTAATTATCTACAGTATCATTTATAAATAATGTTTAATAGTTTAACTTGTGAGTAATTAAAATAATTACTGACTTACAGCCAACAAGTGTGTATGTTCAAATCTGAGCCGTTATCCTTTGTCCCCGCCAACGCTCCAAAGTATGCCACGTCACCCATTTTGAAAACGTTTTCAATGAGACCAGTTTTAGAGTTCATCACTTTGACAAGCACTGTCTCTATATCTTATTTAGATGATCCAGATTTGATTTTTTTATTTTTATTTATTCAAAATAATTATTTTAATATACATAAAATTTAAAATAGACATAATCTCTTAACTATTAATTTTTTTTAAAATTTTTATTTAAAAATAATGAATTAAAAATTTTAAATATAGATTATTTAAATAAAATATAAACAATATAGATTTAATGAATCTATGGTGTCCATGTTCGTATGATTTAAGCTTCACCGTGTGCATGGTTGTGTCAGACAAATAATTTCTCTCTCTCTTTCCCTCGTTATTCTCTCGTCCTCTGAGTTTCGAAAGCCGTTCACACTCATTCTCCTCTCCTCCGGTCGAAAGCAGAGCGTTGCAGCCTCTCCGCTGTTACGTCCGTCGGATCTTCAATATCACATCCGTTGCGTCTTCACCGTCAGCTCCGTCCAGTGCTGGGACCGTAAATGTATCGTTTGTAATGCAGTAGCAGTCAGTCCAGTGATGCGCACAATGACGGAGAAGCCGATGGTTTCTTAGTTCCCTTTTGCTGTTCCCAACCCACTGGTTTGGGGTCCTCCACTTACCCATCAATCTAAGGCTTCTCACCAGTCGCATCGTCGCGTGTTCGAGTTTGCGTCTGCATATCTAAGCATCTTGTATTATTAGTCGATTCCCCTCCACGAGCACGACCCTCACCAGTAAGGTTTCGGATTCGATTGCCCAAATTGATTGTGCGTTTTGTTCTTCCTTGATTCCATCTTGATTATTTACTGCTGAGATTCTTAACATTTCTTTCCCGTTTAATATAAATTAAGGTTTTAAAATATATTTCAGTACTTAAATTTCGTTTTTTCGTATTAAAATAATTCAAATTTATTGTATTGTTTAATAAAATTTATATCCTTAATAATTTGACAAACTAAATTTATTTTTATTTAATCATAATTCAAATAATCTTTTACACAATCTAATTTTTATAAATTAATTTTTCTAAAATTTAATCCAAACACAATTTACATAATCTAATTTAATTTTTATTTAATGTATTTTTTGAAAAATTAAATTAAAAATAAGCTATCTTTTGCATTGTTAATCCCAACGAACTCGTATTATTGGATTCTGATTGTCATGTCCAAAGATATCAAATGAAGATGGAAGCTCGCGTCGTGGTAAGGGCGAAGATAAGATAGCACGTTGGATTACCGGCTCCTTTCCACGTCACCCACTTTGAAAAGCTTTTCCGCTATACTTTTTTTTTTTTTTTGCCTTTTTGGCTTTATTTTGTGCCTTTTAAAAAAAATTAAGCATGCTCTGCTTTCCTTTTGCCTTTTGGTAACACATCAATTCAATTATGCTTTCTTCTTACTTAGTGCTTTTATGTTTTTTCTTTTACCTTTCATGCATTAGTGCAATTCAATTTGGAGAATATTAAAAGGATAATGATTAATGGAAGTTCATAGCTATAATCGTGGTTTAATAAATTTTAAAGTTTTAAGTTCATAATTTGTGCTTGTTTAATATTTATAAAACTTAGTATTTTATAGTTTTTTAACTTATTTTATAAAATTTAAATTAATATTTCAATGGTTAAAGAACTGTCATCATGATAAAAGGGGCCTGAATTTTGCTACCTACGGCTTCGAAAATTAATATTTTATAGTTTGGATGAGTGGTGTTGTGTTCCGAAAAGTGGCACCTGGTGTGGGCAACACTATTGAAAATTTGAATTTTGAAATTTGGAAATTAGAGGCACGGTTAATGCTTACATTTTCTTTGTTGGTCAATAATTAGCGCTTATTTTACAACCTGCATTATTCCACCATAATCATATCATGTGAAAATATTCCAAAAAAAGCAATCCATTTTATTCATTATTAGTATTATTTTGTGTTGATTAGGAGGCTCAAATTTTCACCGTCTGAAGCATAACAGCTTTAGTTAATTGAGCTATGGAAGGGAGGCGCAATTTTAACGACATAGTTGCAGAGCCACTCACGGAAGACAGCAGCTATGAGTGGTTCGAATGGGTTGAGAACTATCTGATATCCCAAGATCTTTGGGAAGTGACGAATAATAGCGCAAGACCAAACGAAATTCAGGTGGAAGATTTTGCGAAATGGAGAAGAAACAATGCTGCAGCATTGCAAGTCATCCGTATCTCTTGTGGGCGTCCTAATCAGTCGCACATAAGAGGGGTCTCTGAAGCCAAAGTTGCATGGGACATTCTCTATTGTAACTACCATGATACTGCACCACGTCCTTTTTCCCCAGGTCAGTGCCCTATATATTTTATTAGGGGTATATGTGGAAACATCCTTTAATAATTAGGGACACCAGCTCTCTCAAAAATATATATGATGACTCGTATAATTAGGGAGGGAGAGAGTGTTATAGTTTGTGTCGCACAAGAGGGTCATCTCCACAAAATTAATTTACTCAAAATATATGGTCCTTCTTTGTTTGCAAGGCTACTGACAATTCTCTCACTGCCCTCCTACTCAAAATATAATTGAGTGGTGATTACAGTGTTAATGGAGGCAGAAGAATTAGAGATGAGTAATCTGCACAAGGCTATAGCTGAAAACGACTGGTCGTATGCAAAAGCATCCATTGATCGCTATCCTCAGGTATTGGACGTAGATTTTGCGAAGTCAATGGGCGAAACACCTCTTCATGTGGCTGCAAAGTTTGGGCATCTGGGCATAGTAGAGGAGTTGGTGAGAATAGTTCCAGAAGAATATCTGGAGATACGCGATGCTTATAACAACACTCCACTTGCAATAGCCATATCTGAAAACAATTGGTCGACTGCAAAAGCATTCATTGATCGCCATCCTAAGGTATTGGACGTAGATTTTGCCACTTCAATGGCCGAAACACCTCTTCATGTGGCTGCAAAGTTTGGGCATCTGGGCATAGTAGAGGAGCTGGTGAGATTAGTTCCGGAAGAATATCTGGAGATACGCGATGCTTATTATGAAAATACTCCACTTGCAACAGTTGTCTCACATAGTGGACTCATCCCGGTTGCAGCATGCTTGATCAACAAAAATAAAATGGCACTTGCAATTCCAACTAAAAACGACTGGGAGATTCCTGCAACCTCGGCTTTTTATTCTGGCCACAAGGAAATGGGACGTTATCTTTATTCTGTCACTCCTTTGCAAGTCTTCAAACCAAGAAACGGCACTGTGGGGCCTGAGTTCCTCCACGCCTGTTTGAGACGTAGAGAATTCGGTAACATAGTTTTAATTTGATACATGATTAATTTCATTCTCAAAGCACAGTACATGTATGTTTCATTTCCATTTTTCCCTCTCGTCTCTTTATGATTTTGATACGTAAACAGATATTGCCTTGGATTTGCTCCAACGACAATCGGAGCTGCTTTTTGCTGCTGACTCAGGCGGGGAACCAACAATTCAGAAAATTGCACACTATCTTCATAATTTTCTTGACAAAAGTCAACTTCCATTTTGGAAGCGATGGTTCTATCACCGTTAGTGCACATTATTACATTCTACTATCTATTTTTTGCTACAATTTTCTTTATGTTGTTTGCTCATATTAATCATACACAAGCCAAAAGGGTGAATTATGATGATGAGGATAAAGATGGTGAAGATGAAGTTATTTAAACAACCACCGGTATTCATCAATATTTGGTCACATAATACTCATTCCAAATCCATCTCGCCTTTCTGTCTTATTCCTTACTGTCCTAACTATATATAGGACGTCTCTTTAGGGAAAAAAGCAAATTCTCGGTCCATAATATAAGATACTTGGTGGGTCAGTAATAAACTTTTTTTCAAATAAATTTTCTTAATCACTTTCAGTGTGGACAACAACTCCACATATATATTTTTACAGTTAGTGTTGTCTTCTGATAATTCATTGTTATTGTCAACATAATAACAGTATTTATTATAACTTTTTTTTGGCCAGTGACGGTATTTATTATAACTACACTACATCCAATAATAAAATAAGATATCTTCTAAATTTTTTTCATGGTCTATTATAAGACTCTTTGAAAATTTGGTGAAAGTTTATGACGTATTTCCAAAAATAATTTGGCCAAAAATTTTCCAAAATACTATCTTTGTAATTGAATCTCAATTTATTGGAAAACATTATCACTGAATTTATGTTTCATAAAAAAAAAATCCCCCAACTTAACTAGGAGGTGGCGGCAATTAATTAATACTGGTCATGTAATTTACTTGTACTTCGAGCTATTGATTGCATTATTATTTGAAGAAGCTTATGTTTTCTTTGATCACTTTTGGGTGGAAGATATGAAAATATCATCAACCACAACGACTGGGCATTTCTGCATAGATATTCAGCAAGAAGGCGAGAGCAACAAAGCTAGTCAAGGTACAATATTCTCTATCGATCACTTAAGAAGGTGAAATCAAATAATATTATTATAGAACATAGATTATGGAATGTAAATTTTTTTTTTATTTTATTCATTAAACGTGAACTCAAGTATACCAAAATCCATGTCAACAGGGATAGGTCTACTCCATTGGCTCACCTCCTGTATCTATAATTTGTCAGGTACATATGTATGTAAACATGCCAAAAACTAAAGTTCCACAGAACATAAATCGGACAATATTTTAGTTTTATAACCAATGGTGCAGGAAGGAAGGAACTATATGAGATGAAGCCGCAGCATGCACAAGCAGCTGCGATTCTAAACCTGGTTTGCGAGAATCTGAAATCTTTGAATGAAGTAAAAAAGAATATGTTCAAAAAAGCACTGACATCTGTAGCTAAAAGAGACGATGTTGAGTTTTTGTTGCAAGTAATGAAGGTAGTCCCGGAATTAATCACGCTAGTCAGTCTTGGTGAGCCAGACATGGATATTTTCCTCGATGTTGTTAAATATCGCAGAACTGAGCTTTTCAACCTCCTCCATGGTTCTCGCTTTAAGAATAAGGTGGAGTCATTAATTGATACAAGGAACTCAAATACCTTGCTGCATGTGGCAGCCACGTTGGCTCCTTCTACCCGCCTTAACCGCATCCCCGGCGCCGCATTACAGATGCAGAGAGAACTGCAATGGTTCAAGGTTATTAAGACGTCAAATTTAATGCCTTTTCCTTCGATACTTTGTGTCTTTCATTAATTGCTTATTATGTATTTATTTTCTATAAGCATAGGCTGTCGAGAGTATGGTGGATCCTGGAGATAGGTTAGTTGTAAACAAGGAGGGGCTGACCCCCATAGAATTTTTCAAAGAAGACCACAAAGAGCTAAGGGCTCAAGGAGAAAAATGGATGAAGGACACAACGTCTTCTTGCTCAGTTGTTGGGGCTCTAATTGTTACCATCATGTTTACTGCAGCTTTAACAGTTCCCGGAGGAAACAATCAAGATTCAGGGTACCCAATATTTATGAAGAAGAAGTTATTTGAAGTTTTCTTAATTTCAGATGCACTCTCCTTGTTTTCATCCACTACTTCTGTTCTAACATTTTTAGGAATCCTCACATCACGCTATGCAGAAGAAGACTTCCTTTACTCACTACCTACAAAATTGATAATAGGTCTTTCTGCACTGTTTCTTTCTATTGCAACTATGATGATTTCCTTTTCGGCGACCATAATGATCATGGTGCAATATAATTCTTTACGTTTTTGGGTTACTGTTCCTATTGTCGTGCTTGCTGGTGTTCCAGTGACCCTTTTTGTATTGTTACAATTCCCTCTTCTTGTTGAAGTATTCTCATCTACTTATGGTCCACATCTCTTCAAGAAGAAGGTGTTGAAGTGGCCATGAGCTGTGTATGTAATTAATTCGCATCTTACTATATATGTATTATTTTCTATTGAATAAAAATTTTCTCTTGATGCTTAATTGAGTCATAATGCAATTACATTTTTAGCCTATGTTGGAGATGTGTGTATCAGCCTTTGCATGTTCAAAACATAAATATACATTGATGTGGTTATGCCAAATCAATTAGACGAGTTGCTTAATCGAGTAATAATGCAATTACATTTTTAGCCTATGTTGGAGATGTGTGCATCAGCCTTTGCATGTTCAAAACATAAATATAGATTGATGTGGTTATGCCAAATCAATTAGACTAGTTGCTTAATCGAGTAATAATGCAATTACATTTTTAGCCTATGTTGGAAATATGTGTATTAGCCTTTGCATATTCAAAAGATAAATATACATTGATGTGGTTATGCCAAATCAATTAGACTAGTTGTTTTCTATTTTTTCCGTGAATGTATGACTGAAATAATACTCTTAATTTGTCTTCTTGGCGCTACACCAAAAATAAACCGAAATTATGCAATATAGTGTATACTCGGGTCATTTCTTTTTTAGAAGCCAAAAATAAAATTAAATCCTAATAAATAAATACAAGCAACCTAAACTACAAAAAGGATTTTAATTTGATAAATTGCTAACTAAATGTTATGAATTAAATTAAAATTAAAAGACTTGTTTTTGATGTTTTTATATGAAAATTATTTAAAGTGAATGATGGTAAATGAATTAAAATGAAACACACGAGTAGACAATGATAAAAAACAATCTTTCAACTCAATAACGCAAGCAATCTTCACTTCAACAAATATGAGAGTTAACAACAAAGAATCCAGAATTGTATTTAAACTTTAAATCCAACAATCGAGCCATATCAAATTGTCACAAAATATTTTCTCAAAATTCCAACTTATTAATTGCTACTAGAATAATAAAATGAAATTAAGAATAATAAAAGCCATTGTTTAAACACAATTCAGAGGTTCATAGGATAGAATCAGGGATTACAACAGATACCACAATCCAATAATTCAAGCCACATTAAAGAATCACAATATATTCACTAAAATTCCAATACAAAGTCTTAATCCAAAATAAAATATATAGAATTAAAATTATAAAGGCTCAATATTAATTGCTTAAACAAAGATTCAACCATTAAGAATTTTCTAACAGCAACATAATAACATTACAAACTTCCATAGATCAAATAGCTAATCCTAAGACTTAGGAATCACTGAATAACAACTGAAAACAGAATTGAAGTAGTTAGAACTCCTTTATGAAAACCAAGCTCCTGCCATTGCTCTTGAATCAAAGGATCATGACACTCTAGCCATAGACTGCCATCAAAATCGCTGCCACCAGCAAGTTCACACACTCAGCAGTGAAGAACATCGAAGAAGATGGCAGAAAAGGAGGAGGAACCGACGGAGATGACGGAAACCGCTGGAGAAGACATCGGATAGTAGGAAGACGTGATGAAACAAATGGATTGAAGGTTTCGATTAATGGGATGGGAGGGTTAGGCCGAGATTGAGTGAGGGAGGCATATGGGGGAGCTGGATTCGGTGGTGAATGGAGAGAATGGCCAAAGTTGATTACTGTACCGTCGAGCTACTCTGGCCTGCCGTCTTGCGCGTAAAGAGGACGATGGCAACAATGGATTTGAATGGAGATGGAAGAGGCGATGATGGAGACGGTGAATTAATGGTTTGGATTGATGGGAGATGAGGAAAAGGCGGAGATTGAGATATGGAGGTGTGATTTCGCCGTTCAACTGCTCTGCTTCTGTCGCAACGCCACGAAGAAGAAGATGCGATGAAGTCGATGGTGATGATGGATTTGAATGGAGATGGAAAATGATGGTTTGTACTGATGGGAGTGAAGGAACTGCCGAGAATGAGGGGTATAGAGAATGAAGAATGATTGAAGGCCCTGCATCACACTCTCTTGTCCTCTCGCCGTCGAGCTCCTCTCTCTGATTCAAGATGATGACCTCCTTAGGTCTCCAGCAAAACGCACGTTTCGCTTGCCCTTTTTTTTTTCCCAAAAAATCAGGTCATTTGCTGCCATTAAATTTAGGGTTAAAGTGATGCAAATCAGCCAAAAATAAAGAAAATAAGATAACATTAATTGTCTTTAAAAATCAATTAATCACAATTAAAGCAAAGTATGATAATTTTGTCCCTATAAAATAATAATTCAAAACAAAACATACTAAATGAATTAATAATCAAATAATATAAAAAGAACTAATTATGTTGACAAAAACCCATAAAAAAGATATCTGAATATATAAAAAATAAATGAGTTTGTCAATGACTTTTCCTAATAATTTAATAACAAATTATTTAAGCCAAATTCCAACAAAAGTAGTGAGGTTCAAGTGCTGGGTGCTCAACAAATTAGACTTTAATTTGATTCCCAACCCAACAACCCAGTAATTTCTTTCTTTTTTTAATTTTTGATACCACAACCACAGTAATCTCCAACTTAAACCATCTTACTACAATCCAACTTCCATCTTTTTATTTTTATAGTTTTTATTTTTAAAAAAGTATTGGCTTATTGGCATTTCCTGGTACTATTCAGATATAATAATAAAAAAGGATTAAAAATAAGAAATGAAATAATTTGAAAAAGATCCATTATCTACCATCGTACCCGTACTTGTCTAAAAGAAAAAAAAATCATCGTTTCCTATTTCCATTTAGGGAAAACCATTTCGAAGGTACCTAAACTTTTCTTTAATTTTTAATTTAGTATCTATATTTTTTTTTGCTTTTTTAAAAATCCTTTAACTTTCTTCTGTTTATGTCGTTAGCCCTCATACTTCAGAAAACACACAAGGGCTAACAGAAAAATACAGTGTTAAAAGAGAAAAGGAAGAGGGAGAAACATGAAGACGCAAACGCACGAACCATTCGAAGAAAGAGCATAGTCTCCCCTGTTCTTATTTGACGAAGATAGCGCCATTGATAACCTGCTAGAGCTGCAATGCAATCTCTATTCCACTGAGTAAGGAGTTCAATTAGTGTACAACACAAGGTGTTTTCATTATATTCTCTAATTTATTTTTATCTTGTGTGAATGCGCTGGGTCTCTGTTCTTCCATCTTTTCATGAGGTATGTTTTCCTTTATGTGTGTGATTCCCAAATGGGCTCCTTCTTCGCTATTCTAACTCATTATTGCCACTTAGGTTTAAATATGATTGTGTTTAAAGCATCAGAAAGAAGGACTGGAGATGATCACTCACATGATATTTTGTCTGCCGAGGACAATTGAAGATTCTGTATGTTGATTAAGAGTTGTGGCAAAAGGAGAATCAAATCGCATGAAAAGACAAATTGCATGATCTCACCCATTCCAATAGAAGCCACTTTCTCACAAAAGGTAGAAGCAAATCGCATGGGCTAGTAGAAGTTGAAACAAAGAACCCTTCCTCCCTCTACTGCAGACATCAAATCCATCGAAGAAAATATCTTTGCGTAAGGTTTTGATTCCGTCAAAGTCCTCTCCAAGTCGTGTTGCAGATTGGACCCCTACATCTGTCGAAAACCTCTTCTGCGTTGAAGTTCAGTCACGATGAAGAAATCCCATTTTAACAGTGTTAATTCCTCTGTTGGTCCTTGCGTGTGTTTTCTGAAGCATGAGGGGCAACGGCATAAACGGAAGAAAGTTAAAGGATTTTTAAAAAAACGAAAAAAGTATAGGTGCCAAATTAAAAATTGAAGAAAAGTTTAGGAACCTTCAAAACGGTTTTCCCTTCCATTTACACAATTTTCTACCGCCATCTAGGAACAAAAATAAAAAAATTAAATAAGAAATTTCAAATAATATGAAAAGGAAGCACGATCTTTCATTCACGTATTTGTGTTAAGAAAGAAGCATTATTTATGAAAAAAATTCAAGCAATTTGACAAAACCGTCAAATATTGATTAGATCTATTTCTACCTGACTATTTTACTTTGTTACTTGTTAGAGTAGAAGAATAAATTTTGAACTTGCTTAAAACATTGAAAGATTTCTTTTATATGGGGCTAAAAACAATCATAAGTATTTATTTTTAAATATCAAACGCACGATTGAACCAAAGTATAAATAAAATAAGCTAAAATAAAAATTAATTTATATTAAATATATATATTATTACACGAATATGAATATTTGATACATTAATCTCGTTTACTGAATAAAAACTGAAAAAAATGAACTTACCAATACTTTTATGATAATATAAAAAATGCAACGGTCCTCTTAATTTTTTAATCATTTATAGTATTATTCAAAAGTAAAAGTGATTATAAGTAATTTTTAATACCCTTTCAACTAAGCAAAATACGTTAATACCTATTAATGGTTGAAATAATTACAGCGAACAAGGGAATATATATTCAGTTTGAGCAAATCTAAACAGTCAAACATTGGCATATCCTTTTTTTAGAACTTTGGTGCAAAAATTACTAAAACATATGATTGTTTCACGTCAAGCATTCCCCATTTCACAAACACGTTTGCCTTTTGTTTCCATTCCTTGCTTCTCGTCTGCTTCAGATCCATTCCATTCAATTTAAAGGATCTTAAAAAGCTTATGGCGCTTTCGGTTCTTCAGGTAGTACTTAAGTCGCTTTTACATTAAGAACTTAATGAAATAGCATTAAATATTTTAAATTAAACCAAATGAAATAGCATTAAATATTTTAAATTAAACCATATGAATATGCAGGTAAAAATAATACGACAATGGCTATAAATATACAATGCGTCAGGAGAAAGTGAACGGTGCGCCAACTGCATAAGAAGATATTATGGGGGTGTTTGTTTAACCCCAGAATCACTTTTCAGAAGCACTTTTTCGCAAATCGAAACAAACTCTGTTACATATTTACTTCGTATACTGTAAAAACACTTCTGAGACCATGGTTTTGTTTTGAAAACATATGTACTTACGACAATTGAGTTGCTCCCCTACAGCACTATTTTTTTTAATGTGTGTTTTTAAAAGAAAAGTTCAAGTTTGTTTTTTTTTTCCTTTTTCTTTCGGTAACATATCACGATCCCTTTCTTCGTCCCCAGTTATATATATTAACACGTAAGGAATAAAAGGAAAAGCTATAAATACAGAATGTGTGAAGCGTTAGTGAAGTGTGAGAGCGAGCTGAAAAAACAACAAGCAACAAGCCATTGCCACCTTTGGTAAGCGCAATCAATCTTTGTTCCTTTAGCTGAAATGCATGTTTTAAATTTCTCAAACTGCAAGAATTAGTGAGATTACAGTGATGAGGTGCACGAGGTATTACAATATTTAGATATGGGTATTGTGTTCAAGGCTATATGTCAGTATTTGTTTAGATGTAGCGCACTCAATGATTATTTAATTCTGTACGTTCAGATATAATTTGGTGACCTTAAAGAAGATATCAAAATAAAACTATTTGCATTTAAAAATAAATTTATCAATATAATTCCACTTTGATTATGAGTGCTTATTACTTCACATCCTGGATTATCCCAAATAGACGGATTATTATGCGGTCGAGTATTATTATCCTGAATGTCCGATTAATGCAATATCACATCCGTTGCTTCTTCACCGTGAGCGCCGTCCAGTGCTGGGACCCTAAATGTATCGTTTGTAATGTAGTAGCAGTCAGTCCAGTGATGCGCACAATTAATGACGGAGAAGCCGATGGTTTGTTAGTTCCCTTTTTTTTTTTTTGGTTGCCCAGAGTATCCTCCCACCCGAACGGTAAGAGACTAATCTCTCGGGGTACTGTCAGGCGCCGTATCCATAGGAGTAATACCTCATCTCCTTCTTTTATTTGATTATGGTTGATGGAGTATCCATAAGGGTAATTTAGAGAAAATTGATAAATATGAGAAATGGGTCTTATATTTAGGACCAAAACTAACTCAAGAATTGGGTCCTATGTTAAGGACCGGAGGAGTATACATATACGTTCATTCGAAACTCTATCATTGCAGGGGTCCTCCACTAACCCATCAATCTAAGGCTTCTCACCAGTCGCATCGTCGCGTGTTCGATTTCGCGTCTGCATATCTAAGGTTTCGGGGTTCTCTTATTCGATTGCCAAAATTGATTGTGCGTTTTGTTCTTCCTTGATTCCATCTTGATTATTTACTGCTGAGATTCTTAACATTTCTTTCCCGTTTAATATAAATTAAGGTTTTAAAATATATTACAGTACTTAAATTTCGTTTTTTTCATATTAAAATAATTCAAATTTATTGTATTGTTTAAATTTATTTTTTATTATTTAATAAAATTTATATCTTTAATAATTTTACAAACTAAATTTATTTTTATTTAATCATAATCTAAATAATCTTTTACGCAATTTAATTTTTACAAATTAATTTTTGTAAAATTTAATCCAAACACAATTTACATAATCTAATTTAATTTTTATTCAATGTATTTTTTGAAAAATTAAATTAAAAATAAGCTATCTTTTGCATTGCTAATGCCAACAAACTCGTATTATTGGATTCTGATTGTCATGTCCAAAGATATCAAATGAAGATGGAAGCTCGCGTCGTGGTAAGAACCAAGATAAGATAGCACGTTGGATTACTGGCTGCTTTCCACGTCACCCACTTTGAAAAGCTTTTCCGCTTTACTTTTTTTTTTTGTTGCCCTTTTTGGCTTTATTTTGTGCCTTAAAAAAAAAAATTAAGCATGCTCTCCTTTCCTTTTGCCTTTTGGCAACACACAATTCAATTATGCTTTCTTCTTCTTAGTGCTTTTATCTTTTTTCTTTTACCTTTCATGGATTAGTAGATTTAAATTTGGAGAACATTAAAAGGATAATGATCAATGGAAGTTCATAGCTATAATCGTGGTTTAATAAATTTAAAAATTTTAAGTTCATAATTTGTGCTTGTTTAATATTTATAAAACTTACTATTTTAAAGTTTTTTAACTTATTTTATAAAATTTAAATTAATATTCCAATGGTTAAAGAACTGTCATCATTATATAAGGGGCCTGAATTTTGCTACCTAGGGCTTCGAAAATTAATATTTTATAGTTTGGAGGACTCGTGTTGTGTTACGAAAAGTGGCACCTGGTGGGGACAACACTATTAAAAATTTGAATTTTGAAATTTGGAAATTAGAGTTATGATTAATGCTTACATTTTCTTTGTTGGTCAATAATTAGCGCTTATTTTACAACCTGCATCATTCCACCATAATCATATCATGTGAAAATATTCCAAAAAACTATCCATTTTATTTATTATTAGTATTATTTTGTGCTGATTAGGAGGCTCAAATTTTCACCGTCTGCAACATAGCAGCTTTAGTTAATTGAGCTATGGAAGGAAGCCGCAATTTTAACGACATAGTTGCAGAGCCACTCACGAGAAACAGCAGTGCTGATTGGTTCGAATGGGTTAAGAACTATCTGATATCTCGAGATCTTTGGGAAGTGACGAATAGTAGCGCAAGACCAGACGAAGATGATTTGGAAGATTTTGCTAAATGGAGAAGAAACAACGCGGCAGCATTGCACGTCATCCGTATCTCTTGTGGGCGTCCTAATCACTCCCATATAAGAGGGGTCTCTGAAGCTAATGTTGCATGGGACATTCTCTATTGTACCTACCATGATATTGCACCACGCCGTTCTTTCCCAGGTCAGTGCCCTATATATTTTATTAGAGGTATATGTGGAGACATCCTTTAGTAATTAGGGACACGAGCTCTCTCAAAAAATATATATGATGACTCGTATAATTAGGGAGGGAGAGAGTATTATAGTTTGTGTCTCACAAGAGGGTCATCTCCACAAAACTAATTTACTCAAAATATATGGTCCTTCTTTGTTTGTAAGGCTACTGACAATTCTCTCACTGCCCTCCTACTCAAAATATAATTGAGTGGTGATTACAGTGTTAACGGAGGCAGAAGAATTAGAGATGAGTATTCTGCACAAGGCTATAGCTAAAAACAACTGGTCGGCTGCAAAAGCATCCATTGATCGCTATCCTCAGGTATTGGACGTAGATTTTGCGAAGTCAATGGGCGAAACACCTCTTCATGTGGCTGCAAAGTTTGGGCATCTGGGCATAGTAGAGGAGCTGGTGAGATTAGTTCCAGGAGAATATCTGGAGATACGCGATGCTTACTATGAAAATACTCCACTTGCAACTGTTTCACATAGTGGATTCATCCCGGTTGCAGAATGCTTGATCAACAAAAATGAAAAGGCACTTGCAATTCCAACTGGAAACGACTGGGAGATTCCTGCTACCTCGGCTTTTTATTCTGGCCACAAGGAAATGGGACATTATCTTTATTCTGTCTCTCCTTTGCAAGTCTTCAAACCAGAAAACGGCACTGTGGGGCCTGAGTTCCTCCACGCCTGTTTGAGACGTAGAGAATTCGGTAACATAGTTTTAATTTGATACATGATTAATTTCATTCGCAAAGCACAGTGTATATATGTTTCATTTCCATTTTTTCCCTCTCGTCTCTTTATGATTTTGATACGTAAACAGGTATTGCCTTGGATTTGCTCCAAGGATGCTCGGAGCTGCTTTTTGCTGCTGACTCAGACGGGGAACCAACAATTCAGAAAATTGCACACTATCTTCATAATTTTCTTGACACAAGTCAACTTCCGTTCTGGAAGCGATGGTTCTATCACCGTTAGTGCACATTATTACATTCTACTCTCTATTTTTTGCTACAATTTTCTTTATGTTGTTTGCTCATATTAATCATCCACAAGCCAAAAGGGTGAATTATGATGATGAGGATAAAGATGGTGAAGATGAAGTTATTTAAACAACCACCGGTATTCATCAATATTTGGTCACATAATACTCATTCCAAATCCATCTCGCCTTTCTGTCTTACTCCTTACTGTCCTAATTATATATAGTACGTCTTTTTAGGGAAAAAAACAAATTCTCGGTCCATAATATAAGATACTTGGTGGGTCAGTAATAAACTTTTTTCAAATAAATTTTCTTAATCACTTGCAGTGTGGACAACAACTCCACATATATATTTTTACAGTTAGTGTTGTCTTCTGATAATTCATTATTATTGTCAGCATAATAACAGTATTTATTATAACTTTTTTTTGGCCAGTGACGGTATTTATTATAACTACACTACATCCAATAATAAAATAAGATATCTTCTAAATTTTTTTCATGGTCTATTATAAGACTCTTTGAAAATTTGGTGAAAGTTTATGACGTATTTCCAAAATAATTTGGCAAAATTTTTTCCAAAATCCTATCTTTGTAATTGACTCTCAATTTATTGGAAAACATTATCACTGAATTTATGTTTCATAGGAAAAAAATCACCCAACTCAACTAGGAGTTGGCGGCAATTAATTAATACTAGTATTGTAGTTTACTTGTACTTCGAGCTATTTATTGCATTATTATTTGAAGAAGCTTATGTTTTCTTTGATCACTTTTGGGTGGAAGATGTGAAAATACCATCAACCACAACGACTGGGCATTTCTACGTAGATATTCAGCTAGAAGGCGAGAGCAACAAAGCTGGTCAAGGTACAATATTCTCCATCGATCACCTAAGAAGGTGAAATCAAATAATATTATTATAGAACATAGATTATGGAATGTAAAATTTTTTCATTTTATTCATTAAACATGAACTCAAGTATACCGAAATCCACGTCAACAGGGATAGGTCTACTCCACTGGCTCCCCTCCTGTATCTATAATTTGTCAGGTACGTATGTATGTGAACATGCCAAAAATTAAAGTTCCACAGAACATAAATCGGACGCCTTTAATATTTTAGTTCTATTTGATTTATAACCAATGGTGCAGGAAGGAAGGAAATATGTGAGATGAAGTTGCGGCATGCACAAGCAGCTGATATCCTAAACCTGGTTTGTGAGAATCTGATATCTTTGAATGAAGTAAAGCAGAATATGGTTAGAAAAGCACTGACATCTGCAGCTGAAAGAGACAATGTTGGGTTTTTGTTGCGAGTAATGATGGCAAGCCGGGAACTAATCGAGCTGGACAGTCATGGTGAGTCATACATGGATATTTTCTTCGATGCTGTTAAATACCGCAGAGCTGAGATTTTCAACCTCCTCCATGGTTTTCGCTTTAAGAATAAGGTGGTATCATTAATTGATAAAAGGAACTCAAATACCTTGCTGCATGTGGCAGCCATGTTGGCTCCTTCTACGTACCTTAATAGCATCCCCGGCGCCGCATTACAGATGCAGAGAGAACTGCAATGGTTCGAGGTTATTAAGACGTGAAATTTAATGCTTTTTCCTTCGATACTCTGTGTCTTTTATTAATTGCTTATTATGTATTTATTTTCTGTAAGCATAGGCTATTGAGAGTATGACGGATCCTGGAGATAGGCTAGTTGTAAACAAGGACAAGTTGATGCCTCTAGAGTATTTCAAAACAAACCACAAAGAGCTGAGGGCTGAAGGAGAAAAATGGATGAAAGAAACAGCATCTTCTTGCTCAGTTGTTGGGGCTCTAATTGTTACCATCATGTTTGCAGCAGCTATAACGGTTCCCGGAGGGAACAATCAGAATTTAGGTTACCCAATATTTATGAAGGAGAGGTTATTTAAAGTCTTTTTAATTTCAGATGCACTTTCCTTGTTTTCTTCCACAACTTCTGTGCTCACATTTTTAGGGATCCTCACGTCGCGCTATGCAGATGAAGACTTCCTTTACTCACTACCCACAAAATTGATAATAGGTCTTTCTACACTGTTTCTATCTATTGCAACTATGATGATTGCCTTTTCAGCAACCATAATGATCATGTTGCAATATCACTCATCACGTTTATGGGTTATTCTTCCTGTTCTTATACTTGCTGCTGTTCCAGTAACCCTCTTTGTAGTATTACAATTCCCTCTTCTTGTTGAAGTATTTCGGTCTACTTATGGTCCAGGCCTTTTCAAGAAGAAGGTGGTGACGTGGCCATGAATTGTGCATGAAATTTATTCGCATCTTACTATATATGTATTATTTTTTGTTGAATAAAAATTGTCCTCTTGAAGCTTAGTCGGGTAACAATGCAATTACTTATATTCAGAACGTAAATATATATTGACGTAGTTATCCCAAATTAAGTAGATTAATTAACTGACAAGACTTGGCTATATATGTGCGGATGAATTATTTATTTTTAACGGTAACAAATCAGACGATGAAATGGGTCCAGCCCAAATCAAATCAAAGGTGTCACACAGGCTTAATACACTGATGGGCCCATGGTACTTTATAGTTACGGTTATTTAAAGAATGATGGATTGTATCAAAAAAAAAAAAAAAGAATGATGGAAGTCCTTCCAAAAGTTGCTGACGGATCTAGGGCTTAACTTGTTTCCAATATCAGGTTCTGTTTTACTAAGATCTATGTAAGTACGTGCTTCGCTTCTTATTACTTCATGTCTTTTCTGTTGAATAAGAAATTTCTGATCCCTTTGAATCTTATCATGTAAAGCACCATGCATGAAGATTGATAATGTTGTGACTATAGCAGGAATACATATGGGCCTATTATAGTTTGAATCCAAATAAGGTCGAACAATTTAAATTTAAGTTAATAAAAAATTTAATTATATTCATGAGCATTTTTTCATCAGTAATAAGAAATAAAGTTATGGTTGAGATTTTTTAAATTCAAATTTAAGAGATCAAAATCATCAATGCAATAAAACAGAAAACGTTATATTCTTTTTTAAAATATTCAATGAATTAATATCACAAAAAATTACAGTCTTTCCTTGGCTCTGTGTGTGCGTGTGAGAGAGAGAGAGAGTACGCCGTCAAATTAAAGCCTAAAAAATCAAGCTGCCAATGGTCATTCCTTTCAAGGTATCATTGATGACTGTTTTCATAAGTTTCGTATATATGGAGAACGTAAAAAGTACTGCTAATTATCCAACTAGATATGGTCTTGAAATTATACAGTTGTTAATAACAAGTTTTTTAAAAAATTAAAAAAGACAATATGATCATTTTAATAAACTTTGAAATTCCTATTTATTCCTATGTGATTAAAAAGAAATTTTATTATTCAGATAACTATTTAGAGATTTTAAATTTAACTATCATTTTTCTATCATTTTCTCAAATTTCAATAGTGCAAAAAGCTAGATTTTAATTTTTTTTAAAATTCAAAATTTTTGCCAACTTTTTAAATTCAAATTTATGATATTAAAATCATTAATATATAAGATTTATTAAAATCTTCAATTAATTATTAATATGGCAAAATCACAACCTGGGTGCGTGACAGAGAGAGAGAGAGAAGATTCGTATCCCGCGGCCGAAGCCTCGTCTCATCATATGCATGGCAGATCAGAAGGGCCCCTCAATTACTATTGTGTGGTGACTATCACCGTACATTAGTTGGTTCAAGCTCTTTATGGCCATTAGACATGCACGAGGGCCGAGCGGAGGTGTACGCACAAGAGTAGTGAAATTATTGAGAGAATTACGGATCAAGTCCCAAAAAAAAAAAACAGTGATAACCTAAAAAAACTTATAATGACAAATTTCAGAGTATAAAATAATAATTTTTTAGACTTGTTTTGTAATTGTCTTTTTGTTTTTTAGAATGTCATTGTAATTATCCTGAAATTATTTCCTCAGGGAGCAGCACCTTTTCTATGAAAACAACATATTCTCGTCCTCTCCTTCCCACGAGATATAACGATCTTCCCTTCATTTTAGGGTAATTGTCACTTTAATTTGGAGTTATGCGTAAATACCCTAATGTTCCCAAAATGAGAGAGCAAGATAGTAGAAGGAATAGTAAGACGAAATTGGGAGAGAAAACAATTGAGTTTTCTCGTTTTTTCCCCCCTCCTTTTGCCAATGCACCTGACTTCAACTTTTTGTTTTTGCCAGCATGTGCCTTTAACTATTGAAGTCTAGTCCTATGATCACAAAGAAATAAAGAAGAATATAACGACATTAACCATAAAAAACTTTCTCAAATCATTTATTGCAGAGGTTCCATGTTTAGAACAATTAAGATAAATAATCCTAAGAGTTAAGAGTGATCGACATTTACACATGCAATGTTTATAATTCTTCCGGTTCATAATGCAACACATTAGTTAAGCTTTCTGGCAAACGAAGTAATGTTGATTAAATCATTAAATATGTTTTAAATTAATAAAGGTTACCTATTTTATTCTTATTAAAGAATAAGGTTGGGAAACTCTTTAATCTCTCTTCTTCATTTAAAACTGTCTTTCTTTTTGCGATAAAAGCTAAAAGTGAAAAACTATTATTAATTACTCTATCAATATATATCTTATATTTTGAATCAAAATTTTCTTCTAAAACACTTCTTATAAAACGGAGAAGAAGGAGTAATAAATAGACTTGATAATATTTTGTTAAAATCTTTATACTTGCTCCATTTTAAAATATAAATCTTTCAAAGTTGATGTTATGCTTACAAATTTGTTTACCAAAAACAGGAGTGTATATTATTAATCACACAAAAACAAAATCATAGTACGCGAGCAAATAGCCAAAACCAAGAAACGTAAAGAAGACCCAAAGAAAACTCACTGTACAGCTTATCAGAAAAAAATTTACAAAAACTATAGAAACTATTGACTACATTACCAAATTTATCCTTAGTTAACGTGATGAATAAATTAAAGTCATTGAAGCAAAAAAGGACATCTCAAAATAGTATTAGTAAATACCTGTTTTTTTTGGCCACCGAGTAAATACTTCTTTAAACTTCTAGAAAGACATAAAATGGAACGAAAATGTTTCTAAAAAGACTTATCATAATTTGAAAAGAACAAAAAACTATATATTTTCTTGAAAGCCTAAAGCAACAATCATCTTGATTCTTGAAACAGAACTCAACCCGAGTGAATATACCACTCTGTTTTTTTATTATATGTTACTTGTACCTCAAAAGTTTGTTTCAAAATATAAGTCATTTGTAGTATAATTAATGACCTTTTTTTTTCAATTTTACCCTTATTAATTTAATAAAAAATTAATTAATCAATCTCTCTCTCCATTTGTCTCTCAACTTTTCATTTCCTATACAATCCATCCCCTCCCTCCCTCTCTCTCTCAACTTTTAATAAGGGTAAATATAAAAATAAAACTGGTTAATTTAATATATTTTTTGGTTTGCGGATTTGAAATACAAGCGACTTATAATAAGAATCAAAGTAGTAAATCCTCCTGCCAGCTAACATGCTACGAGTTGCAAATGGTCTAGAACTTTGTTGGAATCTGGGAATTAGGAAAGTGGAATCTAGGTAGGAGCCATCAACCTTTTTCGCTAGAATCAACCAATAATCATTCCTTTCAAGATACCATTGATGATACCATCAAAATTTTAGATTTTTTTCCATAGATTTTGCATATAGAGAATGTAATCTAACTAATTAAACAGAGTCATGAAATTACTGATTTTTTTTCCTTTGATCTCTGTATTGTTTACCTTCGATCGTGACGAAGTTTCCGTTTTATTATTCATAAAAAGAAAAAAAAATCAACCAACTCCCCAGAAATGACGCTAATCATTATGGAACAGTAGGCTAGTACGGTATGGTCGTTGTGAATTATAGTACACCAAGTGGTTGAATTGCTTTCTTACTCGACTCGCAGCTGGGGAGTTAGAGACAGACGCGGCTTCTCTCCTTTATCCCTTCCCATCCGTTGCCCTCCTTTGCCTTTTTTTTTTTTAACCTGAAAAAGAGTTTTCGTTATAGGGAAAGAAGCTACAAACACCAAAGAAGCAACAGGAAAAAATAGAAAGCCTAAACAACAATAGTTATGCTAGGACACACAAACACATAAACCAGAGACGAGGGACACAAGAACAGATCCTAAGACCCAAGGATTGAAAAGAGCAATGACCAATTTCTGTCTGTTTTGATTGGAGAAGTGGCGATAAAGAGTGGTAGTCCAAGGACTAGCTTCAAAGAAGCCCACAATCTTTGGTGCCAAAACTGCAACATAGGCAGCTCCAAACGCCCCTGTAGCCGTAGGGGGAGAAGAAAACAAAGGAAAGTTAATAATAACTTCCGATGAAAAGCAAATCATCACAGACGTAAACTAGTCATCACTAGCAACAAAATGAATCCAAGGGATAAGATTATTGCCGAAACATAACAACCTACAAAGACAAAGCCTAAAACAGAGCAGGGGTGAACAAAACACTAGAAAACGCTGCAGGAAAGCCCCCAAACTCCAACACCTCCAAGTCAACGGACCCACGTTTCGTCAGTGGCTGCAAACCAGCCACCACTATTTTTTCCAGCAGCTTCTAAAGGACCTCCTAAGCTATGACTTGCAGTGAGGGCCCTAGCATCATTTCCACAGTAGCTCCCTTTCTAGCCAGCAAAATCTTCAGAAGAAAGCCGCAAATCTTTGGTTCCTTCAGATGCATAAGGAGCATGCTGATCTCATCGACGTTCTCGATTCCCATCGCTGCCATTCTCCTTACCTTCACCCGTTCCCAATCACCAAACCACCAATCACTCGGGCCGAGCCACATCCTAAGCACCAATTTGCTCTTCTCCAACAGATGCAGCAAAGAAGACACCCAAGAGAAGGGGAAAAAAAAAACCTAGGCTAATCCTAGGGAAAAGATGGAGACCAACTCCGGAAGAAACCTTAGCACAGGCGGCTAGGAGAATGAAGACACCCTCCTCTACCTGAAACTACAACGTTTTGGTGTAGTTTAGCTGAGGTGGTACTTTTTGTCTTTTTGTAAATAAATATCTACCATTCTAAAATATTTTTTTGGTATCACTTAGTGTCTTGAAATATTTTTTTAGTGTCATCTAGTATTCTAAAATAATTTGAGCCTTGAAATATTTTCTCTGTGACACCTAGTATATGGCTTTCAGCATATGGAAGTATTTTTTTTAGTACCATGTAGTATTCGGAGACCTTTTTTAATTGGTGCTTGGTTTCTTGAAATATTT